AAAAATTAGTATTCCGATTCCTATTCCGGAAATTTAATTCCGAATATTTGTATTCCGTTCCAACAATTGCATTCCGATTCCGTATTCCATTCCGACCAAATGTGTAGGCCCCAAAGAATCAACAGCACTTTCAGCATTAAGGGATTTGGCCCGGTACATAGCACCAAGTTCGTGTACATCCATGGGAACTTTCGCTGTTGCGCGCTCCCAAACACTTTTCTGAATTGCTTTATGGTATTTTGTAGCCAGAAGAATTGTATACCTAGGTGAGACAACCGTTTGCGCGCGCAACATCCGGTTGCGAAGTTATGAGGGTATCAAAATTCCAAAAAGTTTAAATGCATTCAGGTGTACTAAAAGTCTCATTATGGACCGATTCCTTTCAAATTTTGCACGTAAATGCACGTAACCATGAAGACCGTTTTTACACAGATCCAGACTTCCACGATTTTTTTCAAATTTTAAAATGAATTTTAAAATTTTTGAAATTCATTTTAAAATTTGAAAAACATGCTAGAAAAGTGGATCCGTGTCAAAACGATCTTCATGGTTACGTGCATTTACGTGCAAAGTTCGATTGGGATCGGTCCATGATTAGACTTTTGGTACACCTGAATGCATTTAAACTTTTTAGAATTTTGTTACTCTCATAACTCCGCAACCGGATGTTGCGCGCGAAAACGGATTTCACGCCTATGTACACCAATCATTCGGCTACACAATGTCAAAAAGCAACCCAAAAAAGTGTTTGAAAGTGCGCGAAAGCGAATATTCCCGTCAATGTACACGATTTTAGCGCTATGTACCGGGCCAAATCCCTTAAGATCTGTTTATGTACGAAGTACAAAAATAACTACTGAGTGATTTCTGTGAATGAAAATTTGCCGACAGTTACTGTATGTGAACGGACCGGACCCTTAACAATGTTCAGGTCTCACACTGCACTCTGTTTTACGCAACAGTCAAGATCGTTACTCGATTACTGCTTGACATACACAGCAACGAACGCTAATTAATGCCTTACACAGAAAGAGATACACATACGGCAGCCGCTGTCAAGCCTTTATTTTTCACGTCGTTACATAGTTTTTTTCTTAATGAAGATTTTTATTTATACCATTTGAGCGAAAGGCAACTGTAAGTGTTAGAGATTAATGACAACGTGTTTGTGATAATTCTGTGTGATGAACCCACAACTTTAAAGTCAAATGCGTGATCAGAGCTCAGTGTCAATCTGCGTGTTTGTACGAGTAGTGCAGTCTTAACAGAGTGCCGTGTTTTACTGAATTTGCAACATGATGGTCACGCTTTTTATAAGCACTTCTGCAGTATAGGGAGTTTCAAATTTTCCAGCCTACGAACTGGTTACGTACGTGTGTATTGCGCGGGCATATATTGTGGTCTAACACGTATAATCGATTTTGTTGTATCACCTATTTTGGGTGAAGCGAATACGGATGGAATGTAAGCTGACAAAACATTTGGGTAAAACAAAACTTTCCTGTAACACTGTCTTTTGTGCATGACCATGAAACTTGGTTATTATTTAGAAGTTACACAGACTGTGCTGACGTTGCTGCAGTAATACAGCAAGCAGAACGGTCGTGCAGCACCAGGAAGCACCTTAAGTCAAGGCATCTTGCACCATCACGAGATTTCCTGACGCTGGGGGATCATTAATTATCATCTAATTATGACCGAAACGGGGGCTTCTCCGTTAGCTGCGTAACGTGGTCAGTTGTATGTGAAGCGGGCTTGTATAACTGCAGAGTGTAAAAATAAAATAATATCAGTCACACCAGTCACGTAGACAGCAAGTTGCTGCGGTCTGGCTCTCACGGTGATCACGCCCAGCATGAACAGCGCCCAGCTTCTTCCAACCAGACGGCTTTTCATCACATTGCGCTCTTAAGGAGGAAAAAAATTATCCCTGTTTTCCGTCTGGAACGTCACGGTTATCGACAAACAATTATCCACCACGTTTTTACCTGCAGAATAATACAGAGCTGAGTTCCGACAGAGCTATATCGATCGCTGTGTGTACGGATAAAACAACATGTACAGTATAATGCAATGTACAAGCCCATCCAAGCAATCACAAAAGTCCAAAACATACCGTAGTTTACGACTACAATTATTTACACGTCACGCCAGCCCTGGAATATTAATGAACGACGTTGTGAATGCATCGTACGTTAAATAGTAGCAATGCTTAATTTTATCATGTTGACTGTGGCCAATCAATACTTTAGTGCATTTCGGTGTCTGGTTATGTTGTACATGGAAAGGGTGATTTTCCTACAGTAGGTCCTGTTTTATTATTCATTGTGCTCGGATGTGTGTACAACGCATGGAAAGCAATGTGTGACACGGTGTGTAGATCGGCATAATGTATCATAAGATATTTCTTTCCGACCCAGTACATCCTGATCCACATCCAGCAGTGTTCATGATTTATCCACCAGGATTAGATATCGACGTCAATTAGCCTGTAGCAACAACTGGTGCCTTGTAACGAGATCCAGATGTTTGTTATCTAATGACCGGCAGTCCGGCACCACATATCCAGAATACTGCCGTTTCATTGCTTTAGCGGCAGGAAATCTTAAGCAATCTAGAGAGCGATGGTAGAGCAAAACTTGGTTAATTAATAACGGCGGCTGCCCACGACGTGCCTGCAGGCGATGATTACCAAGCGGGCCCTTCTCTGCAATTGATATTCCCGTTGCGGGCGCTGCAGCTTGCTGGCTGAATTTGGATGAATTAATAGAACAGCTTGCTGTAGAGAGATGTAATTTCTACACTCCCGATCTTTAAGGTATCAATTTTTGTGTTTTAAAGACCGTATGATGCACGCAAGCGTGGCAAGCCGGTCCGTAATCAAACACCATAGTACTGTGGACGGTAGTAAGCGTAACCGATAAAACGGAGTGTTACGCTACGCTACACATCCCATTTCGCGAAATACTGGCACTGATTGCAGAGAATGCTGGCAAACAACGACACCCATCCCGGGAATTCTTCCCTACCGGCCAACATCAATGCGTCAGCCGTGGCCATTAATGTTTGGCATACCTATCACAGCATCATGACACTTTGGTCCGCCACCAGCATCCTGGTTTTCCTCGCAGCCGCGGTTCTCTTCATCCTGTTACTCATGGTGATCGCCGGGTTGAAAGTACACAAACGCGGTTCCGGCGTCCTGATCATCCACCTAGTTGCAATTGAAATGCTGGTCGTCATGGTCCTCTTGCCGTTCCAGTACATCTCCATCTACATCGGCCAGTTCAACATCATCCAAGCACATCACTGCATCTACATTAAAATTATCCTCCAAATGGCCATCCAAGCCGGGAATTACGCGCAACTGTGTCTGGGATGCAATCGTTTCGTTGCGGCATGTTATCCCCATAGCTACAGGGCGTGGTCCACCAATCGCGTGCTGGGCGGGATGATGCTGTTGGCGTGGCTAATCCCGGTGGCTATCAGTGTGCCAGATGCACTGGAGGATCATTACAAACTGACACCGCCGTGGAACGCCTGCAGCGCCACCACGAACCGCGGTTGGATTATGATACGAGTGACCATGCTGATTCCCATCGGGAATTATCTGCCCATGGCGGTGACGCTGATCTTGTATATCGTCTTATTGGTGAAACTTAAGCGCGCTTGTGTGTTCGACGCGGCCGGGCCCAACGCCACAGAACTGTCAAAACGCCGGTGTCGTCTGTTTCAAATGTCGCGGGTCCTGTTTGCTTCGATGCTGTCGTATTGCGTCTGTTATTTCTTCATACAGCTTGTGTTCTATTTGATGCGTCCGTCCATTATTAAGGAGATTGTCGTGTTGTGGACGAGGATTGCGCACGTGTGTGCCTATGCCATGACACCGGTAAGGTTACGAAAAGCAACTGTAGTGTTAGATTCTACTGAAATATTATTTTAACCTGCGTGGTGTATTATAAAGACTATTGTTTCTGTTTTTTAGATATTGTTCTTCGCATTGAATGCCGACTACAGCAATAAGCTATGGCAAATTTTATCACGCAGAGAGAAAACATCGCGCGATGTCAGCTTGGAACTCGGGCGGTCGTAAATACCGTACGGCTAACAATAAATACAGTTGTTCGATCCCGCGCGCGCTAGCTGCCATGCTCCATTTTTAACAAGAAATTACAAGTATTTTTTACGCGCTCTTTTCCTTTATTTGGATTTTGCCCATGCAGACAGGGTTCCTGAATAAATTACTGTCCGATCGTAGTGCGCCAGCTTAAACCACTGTTGTGACTGAAATTGTATAGGCTGTGGCAAGCGGCGCGTATAAATATCGTGTAGGTTTTACTGCAGTTGTAACCAGTTGCGCCATCATGCAAGAAAAGCATAGAAAGATCTAAATGAAATGCTTTAGACTAATCATAAAGACTGAATGTACGACGTTGTGTCGATCAACCAACATTAAATGTCTAAACTTCAAAGTGATTTGACATTACGGACCGAAAGTAAAACAGTAGTAAATTATGGTTGAGCACTGCACACGCAAGATAAAAAGTTTAAACTGTCCATACCAATGGTAAGCTACCTTGAAATAACTGCAACGAATGGCGGATTCTGGATTAGCTGTCAACCTCTGCATACGGCTGTCAACCTGCTGTCAACCAGCTTAAGCAAAAAACCTTTTGCGGTAAAATATCATCATGGTAAGAGTTCCGACCTTTACTCTTTCCGTAGATAGTCAGGAAACCACAACAGCATCTCACACATACAACGGAAATAAACCTATTTCCTGTGTACGGACGCTGCATACTCTTTCTCTGTATCCGGCCAGGATACGGTTTAAATTCGTGCCTCCTTCACTAGGAAGACTTGAAATAGGTCTCTATAAACCATTAACAAAAGCTTGACAACAGTTTATACTATCTTGATGAGGCACTGGTACATTTACCTTTGAAGTCTTAATTACCGTTGTAACGCTCCCTTAGCCTTTCATAAACAATTCAGATGCTATGTTCTTCATGAATCATTCAAACGCTTCTTTTAATCAGACATTCGACTGGGACTCCGGGGCGACCATCCAGACCATCATCTCCTTTACAACCGTCGCTGTTAACGGCTTTGCGCTGGGATTGTTGATCCAAGTTCACATGCACCACAACGCTCCCTTTAATATTTATCTCATGCACCTGCTGTTGGCTAACATCTACTTGACTCTGCCGGACGCTTGCCGCATCATGGGTTACATAAACTACCCCGGTTACTTCGGCTCGGTGTGGTGTCGTCTGGCGATGTACAGCGATGAAATCGGCAGCGCCATGGTAAAGCACGCGCACCTCCTTATCAGTGTCAATCGCATCTGGGCGCTGATTTTCCCTGTCTCCTATCGCAACTGCCACACGACGACGGTGGCGCTATTGATTTGCGCGAGCGCTGTTGTCTGCTGTCACGTGGTGTTACTACCGCTCTTAATTCGCGATTATCTGTTTTATCAGTACCCGGAGAGCGCCGGGATCTGCGATACGAATGATGTGGCGCAGAGCGTGTATTCCTTTTCCGTGTACGTTATCTGCTTTATGTTTCCGAATGTGTTCATGTACGTCTCATATCCGTTTCTCTGCTGGAAATACCGCCATGGTCGCCGCGTCTTCGTGCATTTTGCGGTATCATATGCGAAGAGCACGACGACATCGGGGGGAAGTCGACGGCATTCGGAAAGGTCACCGCCAAGCCTGGCAAAGGATCATCAGCGTGGTTTCAGGGTGCTGGCGGTGTTGACGGTGACGATCTTCGTGTGCTGGACGCCATCGATGGTTCGACAAGTTCTGTTGAGAGTCTGCGGTTTCGGCTTTGATCTTCTGCAGCGGATCGGCGACACCTTGTATGCGGTGCAAGGGATCCTGGATCCAGTATTATTCGCCTTGGTGTTAGGAGATCTGCGCAAAAGATTCACGCAACTGTTTAAATGCAACTGAAATTTTACAGATATACAGTACTGAATTCACGCTGTACCTAGTTTTCCACGCACGAAGTACATAATATCCATAATAAACAATCAAATCAATAATTATTATCAGTTCAGTAATATCAGCATGACTCGTGCCTTGCGTCACACCGCGCAAAAATCGACCTTCATGCACATGAGACATAAAAAATCGTTTTATAATTATAAAACCAATGCGGCTTTCTGTGTCTGTGCCGATGGTGATTAATCAAGAGGCTGCACATGTAATGACAAGTGACCAATAATAGTCATGTTTCACAGTTACTACAACTTTCACTTTCATAGAACAGTATGTAAAAAGGTTTTAGGGAGTACGCGAAAGCGAAAGTTTTAGCTCATGTACCCCAATTTTGCACACTTCCTTTTAATCCGTTTATCTCCTTAAAGTTTCCTCTTTATTTTAACTGGGAGGGCAATAAAGTTTTTTAGTTGCTTCTTTGTTTAACTTAAATTTACGCTGAACTCGATCTGGTGGAGAAATGGATACGGTTGATAGTTTCATAACTTTTAGCTTCGCGCAAACAAAACCACATGACCGACACCAACGTTGGTGAATCAAATTCTTCGCAGTTGAAAATTGTGTTCACAAACAGAAATTTACCGAATGCTAAACACTACATGCTTTTGCTCAGTTTCACCAGAAAAGTTACAGATTAATTTAATTAATTCTACAGATTAATTTGATTAAAAGCGTACTTTCTCGAAAAGCGTACTGCTGCCTCTTTTAATCAATAGGGCATTGCATTAATTTCAATTTCATCTCCGCGTCGGCTTTGATCACGTCCAGTGCTTGCTGTCCACATCACGACAACACAGACGCAGCTTTATCTTCTCCAGGGCTCATTTCCCTGAGATAAAAGCGGGTCAGCCTGAAATACAGGCAATGACTAAACAGGGCTGTTTCTCCAATAGTAATATGATTAGTATGTATACTGTCAACCAGCGTCATTCTTTGTACTTATTGGCAAACAGCGTCAACGGCCATTGGCTCCGTTGTGGCTTCCCCAGTGATGTAATTATACTTCAGCTGTCCGATCACCACGTGCTGTTCGAAATCGCTGGTCCGCGTTTGATTAGAACAGTACTTTGTGGCGTTCCGTATCCGCACGTAACTTGTCACGGCACAAAGCTTTACCACGGACAAAGTGTCGGCCACTTCGAAGAATGCATAGTCTCGTTTCGAAACTATCGGTGCAAAGATGTATTTGCCGTTTAGGTACAAGAAAAGCCGGGACTTATTTTCTTGCGCTTCCAGCGCCGCTGCGACTGCGCTTGCTGTATGGAACAGGCTTGTATTTCCAAGGCGACATGGCAAGCTTAGCAGCTTTAATGCCTACCCCTGCTTTATTTGCTGGCAAAAAAATCTTGCTGTCGCTGTTCGTGTGCTTCTATATTACAGAAGCACGCAAACAGGTAACTACAAAATTTTTTCGCCACCAAAAAGCAGGAAATCTAGAAGCGTAAATGCTATAATCGTAGACTATTCGTAGTATATGCAAAGCACTGAATGTGCTTACGACAGTCAATGTTGGACAGTGCGGTAACTATTGGTTAGCAAAGTTTTTTGAAATGTGTGATAAGGGGCAAGTATTCAGATGCCGTTTCCTTTGTTCAGCTGACCGATGGCGATAGTATTTTTATACTGTAATTGAGTCTTTACCGGATACGCTACACTAGCACTTTGCGCGTTTTAGTACCTCATGGGGTACAATGATAAAGCCCTAGACAGGAAAAGTACAGGGGCTACTGTGGCCGATATGGATGAGCATATATAATTTTCCCCGTGCTGTTTTGTGCAAACCTTGACAGTTCTTCCGCTATGACTGGTTGATGGTATACTGTTCGTCATTGGCAAAGCAGGAAGTTATAGTTATATCATCTCGCGAGTCCGTGATTGCTAAACCAGCACAATGCATAGCTGTTTGTGATCGAATTGTGACGAATACAAATTCTTACAAAAGCGCACTGCACCTACACTTACGTAAAGTGGCTTCCATAAAAACATTTAATAAAATAAAAATCACCCTTGTTGTAGAGCGGGACGCTGTATCTATCACTTCCGCTCGTTTTCCCGAACTCCTTTCTGCTGTAGGGAACAATGAATACTACGCCGACGAGCTTACCAATTGCTCACACACCACGTAGGACTTAGTTTGTACGGAAACAGGCTACAACATCTTTTTGATACGAAACGGATACAGCGACTCGTAGCGCTATAACGACGTACAAAGTACACGTGTTTACGCTTCCTTACGTCTGTGCGCTTGTTCGTTGACCGGGACAAAATTTTGTCGATTACGGCGATTAATTTGCCACAGCACAGCAAGTTACGCACTAATAACATGTACTGTTCCTGGCACTCCTTACAATTATAGATAAGTCAGCGCGTACCGCTACCAGCTGAGGGGATTGACTTTTATATTGTTGCAAATAGAAAGGCCTAAGAAACTTTGTACGAGGTCTTTTGCAGTACGCGATACATATGAATACATTTGAAGCGTTTCGTAATAATGCATTTGAAGCTGCTTGATTGCTCACCAGGTAAACAGCAAAGAAAATTAAACTTAAAACTACTGTAGATAGATGTAATGAGAGCTTTCTTTTGATGAAGTAGGATAAGCAGTTGAAAAAATATTTTTAAATGAACTAAAAAAATCAGGAGGAGGCTGAAGTTTTCTTATAGCCTTCGACAAAGTGGATTAAAAAGTTGTCGCATACAGTTGCGGCACTTACGTGCTCAAAATCAAAAGTTTTTTCTGCTTGCCTTTGTTTTTGCGATTTTTTATGTTTAAAATTTGTGATAGAAGGAGTCAATACGCAGAATGAGTCCACTTGGCAAAAGTCAACAAACTGGTCAATCCAAATAAGTAAAGCAGAACAACATGATAAAATTGTTGCTATTAAATTAAAATAAAAACAGATTCAGGAAAGCTGTGAGTTCCAACGTAACACACTATTTTTGTTGTGTCACTGGTGTGTGCGTCATCTGATTCCCAATCAGGCAAAGAGAGCCGCGTGATCGTTCTGATAAGGGACCAAAAACAGAGCTAAAAGAACCGCAGAGACGAAATTGTACATGTTATTATTTAAAAGTAGCTGGCAAAAGCAATCTGTCTTCTTGCACAGGTCATGTCTGGCAGCAACACATAGTGGGTACAGCCACATTATGTGTATATTGCAAAACTGCAAACCGTTATTAAGTAAGAATATATTACATAGCATACATCTGTAGATCAGCAAGAGCCGTTTTCGGCAACCGGCGAGAATGTCAGCTAAGTATTTTCTGTTCATAAAAATGAAGGCTTTTCTGGGAGGATGTATCTTTCTGATGTCTTGCGCCTTGCAGTTAAAGGACGCGATAGTATTTTGGAAATAATGTGATGCCATGAACAGCAGATGCGAGGAAGTGCAGAAAGCGTTAAATATTATACATCAGTGGCCCTACAATGTCAGTTCTGCGGATGAAAAACGGGATAATGATGCGCTGTGCAGGTGCAGTACAACGGGTGACTGGTTAATATAAAATAATCTATGTAGATTCCAGGAAAGATGACAGCTGTCCACATTGATTAATAAAGAATTCTTTCTTGCTTCCATCAGCGTACACCACACTCGTAGTTTCTGCCACTATTAACTGTGGTCACAATGGTTTATCATAAAATTGGCAAGCAAATTTAAGTTTATAAGAATTTAAGGACCGAATTTAAGTTTATAAGAACATGTTAGTGTTGCCAGATTGCTTGGTCAAAGTGAACTAAACTTCTTCAAATTATTCCGCTAAAGTGTGCGTATACGACAATATCTACTGTATAAATAAATTCCAGTTCGGTACTATACTGTAGCACTGAAAATAAGCATAACATCAGGATAGCCGGTTTAATTATAGACAACTGATTACACAAAGGAACAGATAAATGCGTAGCACAGCTGCACAAGTGAAACTTGTAGTGTCACACATAAAAGTTTTTTGAGTCGCCCAACGGAGTGTAGAATCGCTTTACGAATGACAATGGACAAATATGCTTAGTCGCAGACCCGGGTCCACGCTGGGTTCCGGGTCTACAGAATCGTCCGACAGAACCATGCGAGATTGCGAGCATCCTTAATCTGGTACCGTTTTGGTCGTGCGAACGCCTCCTTTACCTGTCGACGTCAACTGCGCTCCCGTGTCCGAAGTACGTCAGTAAACTGTGGGCCCTTGGAGACCGTTCACTATCGCAATTATCGAATCACTGGGCAGACGAGTTGAGCAACACACAAGCGGAACCCGTTCTCCTGAATTTCTACGGCAGAGATCGTTGCTGAAGATGCAGCGTGGTAACGCGGCATCGGTTATGGGAATGATGGAAGGAGTGGAAAAGTTTAAATTCTGATGTTGTAAATAATTCTGATGTTGTAAATGATTCTCATGTTGTAAATAATTCTCATTGAAATTCTTATGTTGTATAGTTCTCATGTTTCGAATTATTATAAAATTACGTCTGGTATCAGTTTCGACCACAGTCTGCGGAATGTCTTACTAACACGCGACAGCTGTTGGCCGTAAACTTCCGTCCTTTTTCCCAATGAAGTAGGCGTGCTTCACATTAGAACGGCCTGGTATCTTAGGGCAAATCTTAAATTTGCTCGGTTTCCACCTACAACGTTTTACACTTGCAATTTTTTATCTATTCAGATAATTCTAAGTTTGGTTTGCTTTTTTCCCTGCTCGTTGTTCCCCCTTTGCTGTTTTCTTCCCGCTTCCTGTTTGCTGTTTGCGCATTCAAGCAGAGGTCCCGCTGACATTTTCATTATGCAAAAGCCATTCCGCTTAAATGGTGGCGGTGCGCGGGATTATCAACTGCTCCAAGGAGTGTCAAAAACAATACTTTGTACATAACCTGTATTATCAAATTAATCGCCGTAATGGCAACCTTCTCAATAACATACACTGGTCAACGAGCAAGCGTCCGCATGTGCATGTAGCGTCAA